GTCCTCTCTTGGTAATGGTAGTTGCCATAACTCTTGCTTCTCTAGTAGCATTTATTGTTTTCCTCTCTGTACCTCTTCCTCTTCCCGCACTTGACGTTGTTGCTTGACTGACTCCCATATTTCTTCTCACTTTCCTTCCGCTTTTCAAGAATTTCCTAAAAAGGCAATTTATTTCGTGTGGGAAAGAGTTTTTAATTACAAATATATTATACAACAATCAATTATATAAACTTTTATATTATTTTTAACAATGGAATTATATTTTATGAGCAAAAATACTATTATTAAAGAAAAAAGATAGCTAAAGCTTAATCAATGTGAATAAAAGAAATTTTATTTTGAGTAAAAGTGAAATATTAGGAAGTTGTATTTCATAATTTGATAGCTTATACTAATACTCTACTATTGTATTGGAGTTATATCTAACTATTGAAAAAGAAGTCTTAAATCTAGATAAATATATTGTATTTATGCCTTACAGAAAAAATTATTGAATAAATCTCTAAACTCTATTATATATCACTATTAAAATATTTTTCTTATTATAAAATATCAACAATATGTCTCATCTGATATTACATATTTAAGAAGTATATAGATAATTTTATTATATAAATATATTTCTTTTCTAATCAAACTTTTTATATATTTTTCACAATGGTGATCCTGTCTGAAATATTTTTTTTTTTTTTATTTTTTAATAAATAGTTTCTTATATTTTCTTGTCTCAAGATTTTTTAAATGATATATCTGTTTACAGTAGCAGATCAATATATATAGTCATATATTTCATTTTTTTTTTATTTTGTATAAAATATATTATTTTTTAATTAATAAAGTATAAAAAAGGCCTTACTTAGTATTAAAAAAATTTAATTTAGTATAACAAAAAAATAAATAAACTTAATTTAATTTTTAATTTTTAATTTTTTTTTAAAAAAACAAGTTTTATAATAAAAAATAAGTTATTTATTTAATTTATATTATTAATTAATTGTTTTTTAATAAAACAAATTAAAAAAAATTATTATTTATTTTATTTTAATAATTAATAATAAAAATTAAATAATTATATTATAAGTTAAACTTTATATTGAATTATTCCAGTTTAGTTAAACTATATAATTTATATTTTTATTTTAATAAAATCCAAAAGCAATTTTTTTTAATTAAAAAATAAATAAAGTTTTTTTTTTTTTTTTTAAATATTAAAGTGAGGCATTACTCATAATCTTTATTAATATGGTAAAGTTCAACTTGTATACGATTAATAATAAGATATGAATTATATTACTATAGATATTAGTCTACCACCTATATAAGATAGATATATCATTGAAAAACCTTTAAGCAAGAAAAACTTGAGGAACTATCTATTGTAAAAAATAAAAATACAAAAAACATTTCAGACAAGATCGCCATTTTGCGTTTAGGTATTATAAAAGAGTGTTGTTGATATGTAAATATTGTGATTGTTGTTAGATGTGGTTTTTGAACGTATTACATGGGTTCAGTCAGATGTTGGCGCTGTGTAAGCCACATGTAACTCTTATGTTTGTGTTTGGAAGTGTGGATTGTGGTTGTTGTCTGGTGATTGGTTAGTTTTTATGTTGGTGGGTTGGATATTGACACCGATTCTAATGTTATTTTGTGTTGTATTGTTGTTAATAGTTGTTGGAGCCATACTGGAACCCGCGCAGGGCACTGGTCACATACTCTCCCAATCCAGTAGGTTGTTGTATTGTTTTGATATAAGAGAGTAGTACAAAACGTGATTGGTGTTTTGTGTGTCATAGATCTTTTGATGGGGATAAACTGATTTCGGTTTTTTGTGTAAAAAAATTTTGTGAAAAAAATTTGGGAGTTTTGGATGTATAGTATTGGTGAAAACTAATAACTAGCCAGAGAATATGGAGAATCTTTCACTAGTCATTATCAGTAGAAAACAAAAACTCTGAAAAAATAAAATATCGTCTCTTGTATATATTTATATTTGAGTGTTGTTTGATTGTTTTTTAAGAATTGTGATTATTTGTGTGAAGGAAGACCTAAACATGAAAAAGCTTTTTATTCATCTTCTAATGGCCAAGCTATTTAACCAATACCTTGCAACAGGTATTAGACCTTTTTGAGCGGGAACAGTAACGTCTCCCCAAGAGTTCATTGCTGGCACTCCTGCTGTTCAATAGCAGTCCTTAGGATTATACCTCCCTCCCTAAAAGATATAATCCACTAGTCAAAGTTTCTTGGAAGAAAGAAGATTTCCTAAAAAGGCAATTTTCATGAAAGGAGTTGTTTATGGGAAAGAGTTTTTTTTTAAAATAAATAAAGTTATTAAAAATAAGTATAATATTAAATATAATTTTTTTTTATAAGTTAACTTTAAATTATTAACTTGAAAAAAATAATAATATTGTAATAATAAAACTTTTGAATATTAAATATATCAATATATTATCTTTTTATTAAAAGCAAATCAAATCAATTTAAATATTATTTATTATTTAATATATAATTTATATTATTTTATAAATAGTTTAATAACAATGGCAGCTTGTTTAATTAAAAAAATTTTATATTAATATTTGTTTATTTTTAAGACTTTAAAAAATACCAAACTGAAATTAAAATGATATTGAAATAGTATTGAAACAATACTGATCTATAGTAAATTTAATATATGAATTGTAATATACTCATATAAATTTATAATAATTAAGTATTAATCTAATATCTAAGTAATATAATCAAAAGCTCTACTTATTTTCTTGTTTTTTTTTAAATTTCAAGTTATAAATACTTAATGGATTTTTCACAAAAATTAATAAATACAGTATATTGTTTTTAAGCTCTACTATTTTAATTTTAAGACAATGCAATATATATATTGCATATATATAATTAATATACTAAACTAATATAAAATAAACTTTATATGTGATGCGGTGTGATGATCGTCCGGTTGGTGTTACAATGATCGTTTGAAGAAAAAGATGAAAAAGGTGATAAGGTGTCTGCTTTCGAGTAAGATGGCTTGGTGATCGTTTCTCCATGGTATCTGGTGTCTCTTCCTGTCAAGATGGCTGCCTCTACAGAGTTTTATTTACCGCAATAGGTACTACCCCAGTTCCCCCTTTCACTTCCCTTTATAATATTCCCGGTTAAGAAATAGAACACAGTATGCTAATACAGAAGTAGGAAATCTTGATGGGATTATCGATGTGGACACTAACGTGTGGTGTAAGTGTGTACGACCATATCCCTATATGTAGGAGTTGTGCCCTGCTTGGCATTTATGCCCCTAGATTTGGCAGCTTAAGCCAACCAAGCTCTTTTGAAGTGTCTATTGGAAGATTTAGGAGTCGCGCCCCACTTGGTCAGCAACCGAGCCCCCAGATTTGGTAGTGTGTACCAACCAAGGACAGATTTCGAAGTATTTACTAGGAAGTGCATATATATATGGATCCCTTCTGCAGCTGCATGAGCCGAAGATGAGATTCAAGCAAGATGATCTACAGAAAATTAGCATGTGTTGGTTAAGAAATGTCCTCAAAAAAGCCTAAATATGGATTCACCCCTGAGGTGTAAAGTTGGTATTTGGGTAGAAAATGGACGGATAGCATCAGTTAAACTAGACAATTCATGTGTTGACCATGTAATCTATAAAAATGATTAATAAAAGTCTCGCGTGTATCGCACTTAGCCCCCCCCCCCAAAAAAAAATAAAATAAAATAAACTTTATATTTACAGAAAATAAGTTTTAATAAGTTTGATTTTCTTTGATTCAAAAACATATTTAATTTTAAAAAACCATTTCTAGTAATTTTATAATTTTATAATTATTGATCATACTTTTGAACATGTAAAAATAATTTAAACAATAATAATTTAATTTAAGCAAACAAAATACATATATTCTTTACCAATTACTGTAATTACAGATTAATATTTATTATTTTTCTTTATGTATTTTTTTTTAAATTAAAAATAAATTATTGTTTAATTTATTTTTATAATATTTGTTTATTTGTTTATCTCGCTTAAAACTTTTTTAGAATGAAGGTACGGTTACCGTAGCTTCGTAGTGATAAAGTTTGCGGAATTCTTAAAAAAAAAAATAGCAGAGAATCTGTATGGATGTCTATCATATTGTAAGTTTGAATAAACTATACCCGAGTGCAAAAAAAAACAAAACAAAGAAACGTAATTTGCCACCGATAGAAAAATTCAGAGTAAATACTGTATATATAGTTTTTTTTTATTTTGATTTATTTTGATATGTACGTAAGATGTAAAATCGTGCATTCCTTGACATATCGTAATATGCCGTGTTGTTTAATCTTAGATCTTATTGAAATATGTAAAATATTTTGATTAATGAAAATTTTTGTAAGAAGACTTCGCATCCGAGTAATATCTTGATCCGTTGCCTTTTATACAAAATAAGAATTGCCAAATCTAACCGTGAAGATCATGCATATTTCTGATAATATTAATATAAACATTATAACCGTCAGGATTACAAGCACATCTATTTAGAAGGAAGCTGCATAGAAGGAATTGGGTGTGTGCATAATTAAATTAAAAATTTCCACAATTGGTCAATATTAATTATTGTGTTGCGAGAGTTCGGATAGGCATTTGCTCGGAGTAAGACAACGCTGTGGTTAATGTTGTGAATAACACGCATGATTACCTAAAATTAACATGCATTTATATACATGCAAAATTTCCATCGTCAATTCTTTCATCGACTCATTAAAAAAGTTTTTTTTTTTTCCTTCCCTCGAGAACCTACTCGAAATCCACCAACACATATTCTTGACCATATCAAGAATTGTGCCTACTTCTTCCCTCATTATCAACATCCTTTCCCTCCATAAAAATGGCTTTGTCCTTAAAAAGAATAACCCTCTTTACAGTGGCTATCTTAATTGTGGTCCAATTCATAGAAGCTGGAAGCATTCCCTACCGTCGCCACCGCCGTTACCACCACCACCACACAACCACCTTCCACACCACCCCCCACACCACCTTCCACACCACAACACGCACCACCCCCCACACCACCTTCCACACCACAACACACACCACCCCCCACACCACCTTCCATACCTCCACACACACCACCGCGAACACCTCCACACGCACCACTCCCCACACCACCGCCAATACATCCACACGCACAACCGCTAATACATCAACACGAACCACCGCCAATACATCCACACGCACCACCGCTAATACATCCACACGAACCACCGCCAATACATCCACACGAACCACCGCCAATACATCCACACGCACCACCGCTACCACCGCTAATACATCCACACGCACCACCGCTACCACCGCTAATACATCCACACACACCACCGCTACCACCGCTAATACATCCACACGCACCACCGCTACCACCGCTACCACCGCTAATACATCCACACGCACCACCACCGCTACCACCGCTAATACTTCAACCAATACATCCACACGCACCACCGCCACCACTTCCACCGCCACCGAAACCTCCAAATACCCTATAGATCTCAGTACGACTAATGTTTGTCGGTCATTTACAGATGATTTCAGTCAGTCACGTATTGTGGAATTCTATAATTATAATGGAGATCCCGAATCGGCGGATTGGATCAATCTTAGCGGTTCTCCGAATGCGTACACTTTGGATAACAACCTGCAAATCCATTTATTTAAGCCACAGGGAGATCAGCAACGTGTGAATTCTTCTCAAGGACCCTATAATAAGGTTGTTGGTCTAGGCGCAACGCTGAATAGTACATATAAAATGCACTATGGAAAAGCCGAGATCACTATGAAATGTATTGGGGTTGGTGGAGTAGTCAATGCTTTTATCGTAAGTATGAAGTGTTTTAAATAAGAGGTTATAAAAAGAACAAATTATTCAAAATCACAATAATAATTTATTCACTTAAACTATTTAGACCATGGCGACGAACGGTGACGAGATCGATTGGGAGATGGTAGGCAAAGATGTGAGTCACGGTCAAACGAATTTCTTCTGGAATAATGACATGCTCTATGGTGTCAACAGCCGGACCCATTCCGTTCCCGGAGGATCAATCAACACAACCTACCATACTTATGGAATTGATTGGACGCCTGATTCGCTTACTTGGTCTATCGACGGTGCACCTGTGCGTACCCTGTATCGCAAAGACACCTTAGAAGATGGAATTTATAAATATCCTAGCCATCCCTCTTACATACAATTTGGGGTTTGGGATGGTAGCGGTTCACCATCCTTAGCTAGTTGGACAAATGGGCCCATCGATTGGAACGAACAACCTTCTGTGTTGACCAATGTAATTTCAAAGATCAAGATTACATGCGATTCTACTTATAATAAGGTTGTCAGTTAAACAACAAGCTCGGTGGTTGTGTACATTGGAGGAAGGTGTCAGACAAGGAGTGTCATGATTGTTTATATTGTCTGAACAGTAAAAAAATGATATATTTATTAGTTTCATCGTCTGGACATTTTAAACCTGCAATGAATATTTTAGCATTTAGAATTACCCTTTTCATTCATCCACACCATGTTCGACCACTAATCATCACAATTATTCTCCTTTATAGATTAGATTACAGTTTCCCTAGATAATAATGCTAATTTAATTGTAAATTATTTTTTTGTATGATCCTGACACAAGTAAAAATATTGGAGCCTTCGTAGTTTTCGTTGAATCATGATTGATTACAATGTTGGTTGTGACTTGATTACAGAATCTGTCAATATTCCTCCAAATAAACGTATCTCCTAAAATACGAGTTTAAAAAGGATGCTACCATAAATAAATCCAAACGGTATTATTGTTAAACGCCGCCATATGTGTAAAATATGTGTAGAAAAACATGAGATAAAAAATTAAATCACGACAAGAAATAAGTCTTGACACGCTTCAAATTCCATAGAGCTTGTGTAGGTGGGTTTTTGATTTTGGATCGTCATAAAACGTAACGATGCTAAGATTGTATGAATTCTGCTTTTTAACGACTCATGGAACGCTGGATAAGACATTAACACTCGTGACCGTAAATGTGATATCTGTCAAGTGAGAACACGTGACTAATAAGCAGGATATCCAGCGGCGAAACTTTCGTTGTTTACAGTATATGAAAGAAACGTGTGAAAGCAACTTATTATTAATGCAATTACAGTATTTACGATTTTTCATAAGAAAAAAAAAAGGTAATTTCACGATGAACACAAGTAGACCTGTACTTTGCACATCCAAAGAAATTAGAGGTTTGTTCAAGGGTTCATTTGAGTCGATAATGATAATTTTGAAATTACTTAATTTTTATTTTACTTTTAATGTTTATTCTAAAAAAAAAAGGATACTCCAATAATGGTTAATTAATACTGCATGTTTGTAAATGAACATAATTCATTCATTCATTCAGAATTTTACTGATGTTTCATCATTGCCTCTATATAAAAATAATTCTATTCTTCTCATTCATGACCATCGACGCTAGGGGTTAGCAATTGATATCAATTTGCATATTTACAGTATTTCCCGTAACAAAAAATCCTCCTTCATCCGCAAAACCAAAGAATCTAAAATCTTTATTAAATACCAAATAAATAATAAGCGTTACCTGTGCTTTCAATTGAAAGATCCAAACATAAAGCACGACCAGGGGTTATTTTATCAAAACCTCTATCCTTGTTTGACGTGAAATATTCGATTGTAGAAAGATGACTAGAAGCATGCTCCTTGCACTGGAATATAATATAACGAGACATAATGAGAGTCATTTCGAAGTAGTGTGTCATAATAGTGTTGTGGCACGTATCTTGCAACAGTCGCCACACTCCTGAGATTCAAAATGTAAAAACTCTGGTTAGTTTCAAAAAGAATAATACATTGTTATAGTATCTTCATGTCTAATTTTATATAATACGGTGATAAATAAGACTCTAGCCGTTCATCATTGTATACTTCTTATTAGCAGAGGATATAATTAGTATTCATTGTATCGATAGATAGACAACAACAATAGAAAATTGTTATTTTTGCCATTTTTGTTGCACGTTTTAATGGTCAGGTGAGGATTTTGATTTGTCATTGAGTGTCAGCCAATCACATCCAGTTTTAGGTTTACCTAAACCTTAAATTAAAGAACAAGAAATGTCCGTGTGTCTGACACGACGATAGTCAGGGGAGACAATGTTTCAGAGGGAAAGTCGAAAAAAAGAAAAAGAAATGGGAGTACAAATCTAGAATTTGAATTCAAACTTGTAAACATCATATAGCGTGATACGCACGACGGTTGTGTTATGTTCATTAAGCAAAATGGCATCATTTTAAACGGAAGTGCTCGAAACTTTCACCAATATTTTTGAAAAGTCTTTTATATTATTATTTATTTTTGAAAAGAAAATTAATTTTTAGTAAAATTATTTTTACATATTATCCTTTCTAAGGAGATTTTTTTTTTTTTTTTCAAAAGAATGAAAATTAATTTTGATTTAAGGTGGATTTTAATAGTGAGTATTTTCAACCCGTGAAAACACTCATCTTTTTTTTTTTTTTTTTACATACACTTTCTATTTCCTCCCGCATTTGGTCGGTGGAAATTGGCTTATTGCTAATATCTTTCTTGTTTTTAATTTTTAAGAGTCTTAGATTTCAAATTGAAAGGCTCGGGTTTCCAGCGATGTTGATATCGATACCCGAGAGCCTATTCAACAGTTTCTGAAACTTTTCCATAATAAGTCATGCCCCTCCTCCCGGGAGGCTGACAGTAAGGGTTGCATATCGGAGGTGACAAATGAACTTTTTCGCCTACGAATTTTTTCGCGTCGCTTAAAATCATTGAGTTCAAATTTAGGGGGTTGCCCTAAATCCAAACTTCTCCTCGATTCCATTGAGAATGCACTGGTGATATTAATTTCCAAAGATCTATTCGTGTCTATGTTATATTCTTCATATCTTCCCATCATAAAATATGTTCTTCCTCGGACCTCTAACGCTTCGGAATTATCTGGCTCGATTTCCAAGGATTTGTTTAAATCGGCAAGGGATTCTTCGTATTTTCCCATCCTCTGATAGATTTCCCCACGGACTCTTAAAAATTTGGGATTATTGGGTTCATTTGTCAATAATTTGTTTAGTGAATCGAGGTTATAACTGACTTTGGGGAAATTGGAAAGATTCTTTAGCAAGAAGTTCATTTTTTTCGAAAGTGTATGTGCTTGATCCATGCGCATTTCACGGCACTATATATAAGAATTGTGACTTGAAACTCTGATACAGGGATTCGAAACTCTCTTAAATTTAGCCGTGCGTACAACAGGTTACACCATAGTCTGTTAACAGATCAATACAATCATTTTTATTAATAGCGGGATAAACAATACACTGGATCGAGGAGTGAGTTTCACCGTCCAATTTGGGTTAAATAGCAACAGGAGAAAAGGGAAACTTTGATTGTTTATGTTTAGACTCGGACCCTAGTAATTCCTATCGGTTTCACAAATAAGGCAATAGGATGATGGATCCTGAGATGTCGTCTCGTTTTTAAACATTCTCGGAAATGCGTTACACGAGCACAACTCCCAGACGTTTTTTTCGGTCGAGACTATCCCAATTTTGAATTCTCGGTTCTCATCATGTGATCTCATAGTATCGTAGTGGATAGAGTCGATAAAAATTTTTTTTAAGACCATCCCAACTTTCAAAGAATATAATTGATATCTTAAATTTTTTGCTTTCACCGCAAAGAACCACAACACAGTAAAAGCTTGCATTAGTGCTTGTTAAAAATGTATATTTATTTTTTTTTTTTAAAAAAAATAATTTATGAATGTATTTTTTTGTTTCGAAAATCCAATGACACGAGAATAAAAATTTTTTTTTTCTTAATTCCATTCCTCAAAGGCATTGATGCTCGTATCTCATAACGATTGTCTTATTGAAAATACAATAGATCTTTTTAGAAAATCAAATGCCCGCCGTATACGGTATGCTGCACGTATGATACATTTTGTTCACGCACAATAATGATTGTTAGATTAGATCCGATGGCCGAATAGACCGAACGATTATAAGGTCATAAAAGAAGAATGTTTCAGTAATTTGGGTTAGCGCGTAAAATAATACGAATTTTTGCTTAGTCGATTATCATAAAAGCATTCAGCCTCGATAAAGCAATTTCATGAATGCACTGCATATGCCCATGTCCTTATTTTCTGGAAATCATTTTACATGCACACATTGCTTAGCTTTGCATCAGCAGTTTGAACAAAAGTTTGAGCTTTACAATAACAATAAACACATAGCACATGTATCTTCCAATCAAGATAACATAAAAAATTTTATTAAATTTTTAATTACCCGTATCCATTTATCACTAAAAAAGTATCGATCGCTCAACACTCGGTCACGGAAAAATTCGATCAATCAAATCTCAGCATTTTTTTTTCTTTCAATCATCACGATTTTGTTTATTTTTTTAAAAAAATTTTTTAAATTTAAATAAATATTGTGTGTTTGCGGGTGGGACTCTCCATCAATCGATCCATCCATTCCATCCATCCATTCATTCATTCATTTATGACACAAAAAAACCATTGTATCAAAATACCCAAAAATACGTTAAAAATGAATTTACCATCTAGAAATCAGAATAGAATTCTAAATAAATACACAATATGTAGTATAGATACAGTATATCGATCTATTGTATTTAATAAGCAATTAATCGATTTATTGTAGGGTATTTTAAAAATTTTATTGATAAATTGCTAAAACGTATACACAAAAAAAGACATTGTTATATACAGTAAGATGATAAAATAAGAAAATTGGTGGTTGGGCATTTTTTTTATTGCAAATAGACATTATATTTTGAAGGTTTTTTTTATTATTAAATATGAGTTTATGGTTATTATATTAACAGTTCTTACTGTATGTACTGTACAGTCACCACGGAAAGTGACGCCCGATTTTTATTAAAATGAAATTTCGGGTATGTCACTTGATTTATTTGATTTATACATTATGCAACATAAATTTTTTTTTTACAGATGACTAATACTTTGTTGGTGCCCCGTTTACCTTCAATACCGCTTCGATTCTTCGCGGCATTGAATCCACAACCCCCCTCAAAATCGACATATCAAATTTAGACCACTCTTCTTTTAGAGCAGTCTTGAGCTCGTCCGTAGTTTTAGGAAAATTTTCTTTTTTCTGGATATTGTCTTTTAACAATTTTCAGATATTCTCTATTGGATTAAGGTCGGGTGAGCTTAGGATTTCGTCCAATTTCTTGGCAATTTTCTCTGCACTCATAATTTTGGCAAGAGCAAGTATTTTACCCTTGTCGATCGAGGTCATTTGGGTACGTGCATTAGTCATATTTGCATGCCCAAAATTTTCGCCTAGGAGTCGAGAAAGAAGTAAACAACAAAAAAGGAAAAAACTTACATAAATAGTTATGCACGTGGTGACACATGTAAATCGGGCGTCACTTTCCGTGGTGTGGTCTATTGTCATAAAAATGGAATTTTTTTTTTTTCAAATAATAAAACAATTAATTGGATCTTTTATGATCTGTTATTTTTTTTTATCAACGATGATATTATTATTTTATTTATTTTTGAATATTTTTTTTTGTTTAATATTATTTTTATGATATTCAATATTTATTGAAACTTATTGTTATTTTATTAAAGTTTAATAACTTTTATTATATATAAATGTAAAATATTCTGTACCTGTTTTGTTTTAATAAAATAATAATAATAATTTTTTAATAAATTTTTTTTTATTATATATAATATTATATTTTTGATTTATTTATATAAATATTAATTTTTTATTTCAACTCATATCCATTGGACAGTCCAGCAATTAATGCTTTTACCACAAGTCCTAAAAGAAGAATCTATAATTATATGCATGACTGGTTCGATATTATCAAAGAACTTAAAAAAAAAAAAGAATTTATACATTTAATACAATCAAGTGCCTCAAGAATTGATCAAATCTGGTGCACAAGCCATTTGGGAACTAAAGTCCTAGACGTCAAAACTTTTATTTTCTCATCAATTCATACAGATCACAAGCAAATTCAAGTTATTTTCGATTGGTTTGAATATAAACTGGCATCCCCTAGATGTCAAACTAAGTTGTTCGACTGGAAGCAAACATCAGAGCAACAAAAAATAGTTTTACTGAAGAAGTTGATCTTAGAATGACTGCAACTGAGTTTCATTCCTGGACTACCTTTAATAACATTTTAACTTCTGCCGCAAGAAATAATCTTCCATTGGTTAAACCAATAATCCAGAAAGCTAAAGAGCCTGGTGGTGGCCAATACTTTAGAATAATCAAACAAATCAAGAAAATCATAGGAAAAATCAAAAAACTTCCAACAAAGTCAAGTCTGGAAATCAAACTTTCAAAAAATATTGCATCTGTTCATTATAAAACTTTTGAAGATTCCTTAGCTACTATCAAGTCACTCAATCATATAAGAAAAGTATTAATTAAAGAAAGGCTTCATTGTATTAAAGAGCAACAGGTAGAACAAATTTGCTCAGCCTTCACAAGCAATTTTATCAAGTTCTGAAAAAAACTAAAGAGTTTTATTAAAAAAGCCTTGGATGACCTAAAACCCTCTCTTAACCTTAACACAATTCAGGATAGTGATGGTAATCTGATTGACGATCCTGAAAAAATCAAAGCAATTATAAACAATCACTTCAAAAAAATTCTCACAGATAGTAATTTTGACCCACAAATATTCAGTGGAAAGAAGTATACTCCCCAATTGAATCAATTTCAAATGACATATATTAAGAAACTCAAGAGCAAATCAACCTAGAAGAGCTTCTTAAGACGCTCAGCAAAGTCCCAGTGAACAAAACACCTGGTGCATCAGACATCATTTATGAAATGGTCAATGCCTTTGGAAATCACCCCAAGAAAATACTTTTGCAACTATACAATATGATTTTGGATAACGAACAAATACCACAAAGGTAAAAAAGCTTAACAATAGTCCTCTTACCCAAAAAAATAATTTGGTCTCGCAAAATTGCAGATACCCATTCAATCTCACTAATCGACTCAATAAGGAAAATATTCACAAAAATTATTAATACCAGATTATCGATCACTCTTACAAAAAATGGTGTTCTATTAAAAGCCAACTTTGCAGATTTAGCAGAACAAAGTATCATGAAACCATTAACAATAGTAACATCAATCATTAACATAGCAATTAACCTTAACAATGAACTTTGGATTACTTCTTTTGACATTGCTAAAGCATTCGATTCAGTAAATCTTAACAGCCTAAAAGCGGCTCTTCAAAGAATCAAAATATCAAACAAGTTAGTTAATATATTTCATAACCTCCTGAACAATCGTGAACTTACTATTGCAACGAATTTTGGCAAAACGAATGGATTTACAGTTTCAAAAGGATTAGATTAAGAGAAAACCCTTTCTTCACTTCTATAAACAATATTCTATGACCCAATGATATCAACAATCTATAGACAGCAGGATTGTCCAACAATTCCTTACAACATTCTTGCCTATATGGATAACGTGCTATTAATAGCAAAATCATCCTCTGATCTTCAAGGAATCACAGACACTTTCTGTTTGTTTCTTATACTCAATAATATTAGATGTAATTCTGATAAAACCATATTAATAACAACACTAGGAAACAATCACCAAAACTGAAAAATTCCTCTCAAGGTCCTTAATTTAACAATTACCCCTCTCCCACAAAAAACCTCAATGCGTTACCTTAGAAACTATTTCTCAGGAAATACAACAGACAGTTCATTCAAAAATATTTTAATTAAAGACCTTGGTCAAATTATTACAGCATGTAGTAACAATCCTGAAATGGTCCGATAATTAAACAGGTTACAGATTGGATCATTCCAAGCAAATTGGATTATGCACTTTACTCAACCTTCCTATCTGAACAACAGCTCTTGTCTCTTCAAGTTAAGGTTAATGGTTTAGCCAAGGCAAAATTCAGAGTTGGGAAAACTATATCAGACAAAGTCACATATTTCCAAGCAGGCCTCAAGTTCCTCAATCTAGTGGATAAACAGGAGCTCACATTAGTGAAACTCTTAACCACTAAGCTCTGTAATTTAAAAACCAAAATTGCTCTTTCTATAGAAATCAAGTCAATGCAAGC